ATTCACTGGTGTATACACACACATACATACATATATATATATATATATATATATATACACACACACACACAACACACACACACACACATATATATATATATATATATAATACGTATAGCTGTTTACATGTTTTGTGTGTGTGTGCTTATATAAATATAAGAGTTTCAGTGTATGTGTGCGTGTGTATATATGTATGCATGGTATTTAGGTTTCTTCAGGTATTTTCCCACGTACTAATAGTTGTGGTTTTAAAGTTATAGCGACACCTCGGCAGAATCTCATCTGCCATCCTCAGGCTTGTGCATTGGGTTCTTCTTAATTGTGTGTGTCAGGCTTGGCAGCCACATACACACACACACACACACACATATACACAGGCATGTATATGTGTATACACACGTATAAGAGGATTGCTATGTGTTTGTGGGTTACTGTAGGCTATATGTCTGTCTATGTCTATCATCTACCTATATCATTCATCTATCTATCTATATTTGTCATCTATCTATGGAGAGAAGAGAGTTAAATTGTGTGTGAGATACACATGCATAAATATGTGTGCACGTGAGCGTCAGGAGCCCGTTTGAACTCCTCCTCTTCCCCATTGTCATCTTGCTTTACCGTCCTGCTTTCCTTCAGCACTGCCATTATAACAGAGGAGTGCATTTTAAGGCCTTGGAAATGAAGCTTCGCACTGCCATTAGTTCTGCTGCTTTCAGAATGAGATAGAGAATGCCAAATGTGGAACTGTGATCTCCAAGGGATGCTTCATTCCTGATGCTTATTATTTCCCAAGTGTTCAATGTTTGGTTTCTATACCTTGCAAACACCACTAAATGTCTTGATATAGTAATATTTAGCATAGTACGGCAAAAGGACCCTTTGGTCAAAATTTCTCTGGTCTCTGATAAGAGCTCCGTGTTTCAGTGCAGCAGTATTTAGTGTCAGACGGCTTTGGCAGAGTTGCCAGGAACACAGTGAATTATTCATAGTGGTTTATATTGGTGTCAGGTAGGTAGGAAGATATCCTGAGCTCACAAGAAGTTTATTGTCTCTCTATGCTTGGTGAAAAGGCTCTTCTTAAACTGATATATCCTGCATTGGTAGGTTTATTTTTGCTATTTAAACTCTGGTGCACCTCAATGTCAGAATCCCTCTGATATCTCAAACCAGCAAAACCAAAGATGTTGAGAAGGAGCCGTACAGTAATATATATATATATATATATATATTGGTCTCAGTTGGCTCTTTTGATTTTAACAAACCTCGTTTTGTTGTTGTAAAACTGGATTTTTTTTTTCTTCGGGTCGTGAAGAAACATCCTTTCTTTTTGGTGTTAACTGTACAGAAAGAAGCAACCAACTGGAAATGGACAAGGAATGTATAACTTTGATTCAGTTGACAAGTTTTGATTGGAGCTAGTTTGGTCTAGTGGTTAAGGCTCCAGGCTAGAAAGAGGGAGATTATGAATCCAAGCTGTGAAAGCCAGCTGGGTGACTTTGGGGCAGTCCTTTCCTTTTAGCCCAACTCACCTAACAGGGTTGCTATTGTAGGAGGAAGATGCGTTGGATATGTTTGCTGCCATGAATTGTAAAACTAATAAAGGCAATTATGGAATAGTTCTGTGCCCTAAATTAATAGACGAATTCATTTTAAGCTATCCTTGCTGAATGTGTATTATGTTCATTTAATATGAGATCCTTCTTAATGTTTTTCCCCCCCAGCTGATTGAAATACTTAATTAGGACCAAATAGATGATCAAAGGAACAGCAAAGAATTGGATCCAGCCTGCGTCCTCATTGGTTAAACTGCTTGCAGTCCATAAAATTCTGTTAGGATAAGGACTACAGTCAAACAGATGTTGATTATTCTGTACATAGAGCCTTAAACTGATTTCTGTAAATACCTTGATCTGCGCGTGTGTTTTGTCCAGTTTCCAAAAATGTCTTCTGTTTGTTTTTAATGTCCCAGCACAATTGGATCATGAGCCCCTTGAGGGAACAGAACTGACTGAATGGAAGATCTCTGCCACCCCTTGCTGGGGGCCATTTGAGTTGAGTGGGGAGTGAAGCGCTTTGGATTTCTGAACGCCAGGTAGCCTAGCTGGAAGAAGATGTTTGCCAAACTGAAAAAGAAGATCGCCGATGAGGCTGCAACTGCCCCACGGCCTGGAGGGCTGGCCAGGATGCCCAGATCGGTCAGCAAAGAATCCGTCACGTCCGCAGGAGCAGAGTCGGGGGACGATTTTGTAAGTGTCAGAGACGGCGTTCAAAAACACACCTTTTCAGTGACCAAAAAAATCACTTATTTTAAAAAAAGACAACAACCTGAGTCTTGTTTGGGTAAAGCCCAGAGAATTTTTTTTTTTTATATTACTTAGCGTGACTAACGTTTAACATTGGCAAAGGATTCAACCAATCTGTTGAGGAAGTTTATAAAAACATGAAATGAGTCAGCGTGTTCCTTTTTTATTTACTTCTGGATTAGTCCATGGGGAGTTGGTTTCATTGTCCTTTCAAATCTGTTATAACAAGGGGATGGTGAGTTCTAGTCCTGACTTAGGACCAATCACCAGGAGACAGTTGTAGTCCCACCTTGGACATCAAATTTGGCTGAGTGACTTTGGGCCAATCACCAGGAGATTATGAGTTCTACTTCCATCTTGGGCACGAAAGCCGGATGGATGATTCACTCTCAACCCAACGCACCTCACAGGGTTGTTTTTTTGTGGGGAGAAAAGGAACAGGAGGAGAGAGTATTATCGCCCAATGCCAGGTGCAAGAAGGGGGTGGTGGAAATCATTTCAAATCGTTTTAGGTTATTGATAAAAATAGTAAAGCTGAGATAAAAAGAAATAAAGGAAAGGGAGATAGGAGCCAAACCTGTTTATCACATTGTCCTGGGTTGGCTCATTCCCGAAATTAACCTGAATGTGTCTTCTTCCTACCAAGCCATCTGATGGCAGCAGTTCCAGAGAAGACCTGTCATCCCAACTGTACCGAAGAAATGAACAAATACGGAAACTAGAAGTTAAGCTATCCGGTATGTTTTTTTGTCGTGCGAAGAGGTCTAGGACTAGTTTAAAAAAAACATAGATGCTCTCCTCCATTTCTCTGATCTCAAAGATCCAATAGTCTTGATATATGGACGCGCTTTGCGAATTACTGGTTCTTCTACTCCGACCACACTTTTGGTCGACGTAGCTGCGGCTTTCCTATTGCACGATGGAATGGTGGGTGATCTCTGGGAGATTCCTCCCGTTGAAGTATCCGCAAGGGCTATTTGTAATTTACCCCAATGGGCCAGAAGCTGTATTGATCCAGAATAATGTCAGGTGATGATGAAACCCGTTTAAAAAGAAAAGAGCAAAGTCCATCTCCCAAAACAGTTTCTTTTATTTAGCAAAGCATCAAATTGGCAAAGTCCGTAGTAATTCCGCATCTGACACTCAGGCTTGACATTGGTGGGGAATAGAGGCTTTCAAAAAAACCCTGCCCCTTCCCTTGCACCGTGGGTAAAATATTCCTTTTATTGGCAGTTTTATTTTACGTTCTGTCTCGTCTGCCTTCGTATTTGTAACGATGGTGATACCCTTGCTAATTGGCCTGGAGGAGGCTATGATTCCAAGACGGTAAAAACCATTCTTCCTTTCCATTTGTATTTTAAAATATCGAATTCCCGTCTTCTTTTTCCCTTTGTCTGTCCCGTAACTGGTTGGTGCCACCTCGTCCGTCCACTAAGATTACGCTGAACAGGTCCGAAACCTGCAGAAGATCAAGGAGAAGCTTGAAAACGCGTTAGAGACACATCAAGATTGTATGTTACCTGTTATTTCCCATTTGATAAAAGCCTTAGAAACCTCAGAAGAACCATGTTAAAATTATAATATCGCACGGGGCAGCATTGTTCTTAGGATAATATGGAGGCTGCTTATTTGCTGGGCTGTTGCCTTATTTCACTTTCATAAACCACAGGTAGTCTTTGACTTGACATTCATTTTGTGACCAAAGTTACAATGGCACTGAAAAAAAGCGACTTATGACCAGTTTTCACACGCCCGTTGCAGCATCTCCACGGCCACGTGATCACGATTCAGACCCTTGGCCACTGATTCATATTTATGACCGCTGCAGTGTGCCAGGGTTCCCACAAATCCCTTTGTCCACAGGGAAGCCGGAGTTGTTTAACAGCGCCGGTAAAAAAAAAAAAAGGTTGTAAAACGGGACAAAACTCACTTAACACCTGCCTCGCTTAGCAACCAAGATTTCGGGTTCAGTTGCGGTCGTAAGTCAAGGACTCCGTGTACGCCGGCTTGTGACCCGTCGCGGACCCGGTTTACGCGACAATTCATGCCTTCTGTTGTCTCCCACCCAGCCTTTGTGAAGAAACTCCAGGAGCAGAACGAAACCCACCAGGCCAGCCTAGGCAAGATGACGGAAGAGATGAACCTGGCATTGGAGAAGAAAGACCAGGTAGCTTTTGTCTGTGAAATGTCACCAGAAATTCTGCCTTGAAGGTGGTGTAAAACCATGCGGGAGAGAGACGGATTTCTCCTGGATTCCGTTTTTTTCCCAGGGAAAAATAACTTTGGAAAGCGATCTAACCATGTGTGGTGACTCAGGGAGTGGCACAAAGGCAACACAGTCAAATAATAAGAGTCCCTTTATTATCTCCAACTTTGCCCCCAATATCCTGGCTGGGGTCTGTTTTCCCTCTCCCCTCCATCTCCATTTCCAGGGGTGGCCAAAGGAAATGCTTGCACATCACGTCCCTTGGACTTTGTCACGTATCCAGCCCCAAAGTAGGGAGCTCCGCCCTCTGCTTCTCCTCTCTTTGCTGCAGCTGTTATTCCATGTGCACTTGGAAGTAGTTTCACGCAGGTAGTTCTTGGCTCACCGCAACCACAATGGAGCCCAACATTTCTGTTGCTAAATTTCTGCTGTGTGCGGGGGAGAAAAACCTCCCCTTTCCCGCCCTTTTAAGAATTCCTTGTGGGAATGCTTCTCTCTCCTCTGAAAGGGCCTCTCTCTGTGAGGACGATGGGCGATTAAGAAATGTGAAATATGCCTAGAACTCAAGACTTAGAATGACTTCATTGTCACTTCGATTGTACACCAATCAGCATACTTTAAAATGAAATTACGTTGTATACAGCTCTCAAAGGGTCTCCACCTCTACTGTGTTTCCCCGAAAATAAGACACTGTCTTATATTTTTTTTTGCCACCAGGTCTTATTCTCGGGGGATGTTCATCCACTAACCAACCTCACTTGCATGCATCGCGCCCCCGGCCTCCTTTTTGTTCTCCGAGGCCTTCAGGAATTTCTTCCTCTGCAGCCAGCAAGGCTTTCCTGAAGCCGATAACAGATCAATCCAGAGTTTTGTTCTCAGCTCCAGAGGCCTTCAGGAAAGCCTTGCCAGCTGCAGAAGAAATGGGCCGGCAAGGCAGGTGTCGGGGTGTGAGAGGCCCTGGCTACACCTGTCCAAAGGTAAGTAGGAGGGCAGCTCCCCCACCCCCACAATCCCCACCCTAGCTTAATTTTTATACTCTGGAGTGGGCGGGATCTTAATTAGGGCCTATTTTGGGAGTAGGGCTTATATTGGGTGTACATGTAAAAAAATCGAAGTAGGGCTTTCTTTCAGGGCAGGTCGTATTTTCGGGGAAACGGTAGAAGTTAGAATGACTTCCCTGTCACTTTGATTGTACGCTAACCGACATACATGAAAATGAAATTATGTTGTATACAGCTGTCAGAGGGTCTCCACCTCTAATGTAAATAATGCCTGTGCCTTTAAGGAAGGAGGTCCTCTCTGTGATGTAACATAAGCACCTTTTTTCTCTCTCTCTCTCTCTCATGATGTCAGAGCAGGTGTTTGAGCATTGAGGCTCTTTCCTGTGGGCCTTGCTGGTCTCTACCCCATTCCTTGCCTTTTCTTTCACTGAGTCTTTCCAGTCCTTGAGTGCCTCTTTCGCGCTGGCGCTCCGAGTAGCCATGCTGATGTTGAGTTGTCCCTTTCTCTTTTTCCAGGAGTGGCGGGAAAAACTATCCCGTCTGGAAAAGGTGAGGAGCTGGCTTTGAAACCCGAGGATGGGCGAACATGGGAACCTCTAGAATCCAGGCCTTGGGGGATTCATCCACACCGGGGAGGAAGGAAACGGGTTGGGGGCTCAGATTGGGGATATTTGGGTCTCTAAGAGGTTCTGCAGGAAGGAAACAATGATTTTAGGGTGGATGTGAAGGCCCACAGAGCACTGTTTCCAAGTGATCCAGCCTTGGGACTATCTCCAAATCCTTGTGGTCCCCTTCAGAAATGTTGCATCTCCTAAGACTGGATTTCCAGATCCTAAACACCTGCAGGAGTCTCCCCCTCCTTACCTATCTTTTCAAACTTCCTTAGGTTTGGCCCTGAACGCGAGACTTCCCTTCCTTATTTTTCTTCGTTTTCTCTCCCCACCCAACCGCCACCCCGCAAAATCCTTCTTGTGCCTTGGCTGCTAAAACAGGAGAGGAGGCTTCTTTCGGCCCAGTTGCAAGAAATAAGCGAGCAGAGTTTGAATCTGTTCCAGAAGAGGGATGAGATCGATGAGCTGGAAGGCTTCCAGCAACAGGAGCTTGCCAAAATCAAGCACATGGTGAGGATTTCCTTCAGGTTGGGGCGCCTTGGGCTGAGTTTCCACCTTTTCTTCCGGGATGTGGTTTGATGGAGCTCTGGCTTCTGGCCCCCAATGCACCATGCTCACTCTTAATAATATTGGGGTTTTTTTTCTACTTTGAATCGTGCCTTCCTTTCTTCCCCACCCCAACCCCGCAAATCGGTGGGCAAACCCTTTCATTCCGTCCTCTTTTGAATGCAAGTCACCATGAAGGCTCCGTTTGACACACTTTGTAACGCGCTTCCTTTACGTTTTTACGATCTTGTGGGGCTGCGTTACTAGCTGCCCAGGGCCGCGGATTGGACACTCTCGGTCTTGACTGTAAAATATCCCATCTCTAGGTGTTTACAGGTGGGGGGGGAAACCCCACTCTGTAATCGCCATGTCAACAGTCTCCTTTGGACATTGACCAAAATGGCCAACTTGAGTATCTCCTTGAGCATTTTTCAAAAGACTCGGGGTAAACTATTTGGGGAAAAAAATTCTAGCTCAACATGATTTTAGGAGTCCTGGGCGCTCTCTGAGCTTGGTTGCTGCCTTGCAGACGTTTCATGACCCAACTAGGTAACATCATCAGCGCTAGAAGAGAATGGGATTTGGGGAGGAGGAGGAGGACGACAACTGTGGGATCCTTGGTGCTCTCTGAGTTGGGTTGTTTCCTTACAGACATTTCATGACCCAAACTCGGTTATCTGAAGTCTGTGTCAACCTGCAATATCTTTATCATTTTCCCTGCAACAATTTATCCAAATTGGCAGTGTTTGCTGGGCTGAGGACCCCCCTCCCACCCCCGTGTTAAGAATCTCACATTTGAAAGTGTTCCTTCTAAATGTCATTTACACACATCATCATAATCGGCATTCAAGAATTCGCTCTGAGCCGAGGAAGCTCCTTGGATGAGGAGCAAAATGTCTTCAAAGAAAAACCAGAAAGTCCAGTTGCCTCTGGGGAAGAAAGAAAGAAAGAAAGAAAGATAGATAGATAGATAGATGGATGGATGGATGGATGGAT